ATCCTAAAAGCTTATCTGTCAGCATCAGTGAGTTATTCCAGTAAAAGGGTTTCATCAACAGCAGCAGGCAAAAAAAAAGACAAAAAAAAAGACACATCTGAAGGTTTGCTATTCCGGGCTGTCTTCAGCCGCTTGAGCCCGCAGAGCTGCACCCTGCCAGCTCCCGTGGCCGGCGGCAGCGGTGCCCCGGCTGGGCTGCCCGTGGCTGCCCCCCATCCCCACGCAGCTCTGCCCGGCGGGCCCGGGGGGTGCTGGGGGTGTCGTGCCCCTGCTGGGGGCTGCAGCGGGAGCCGCTCTCCTGGAGATGTGGCAGAGCTTGGGAACAGGGTGGGAAGAGCACGAGGGTTTCTCTGGGGAAAGTGGGAATCTGCGTGGGCCGCTCTGAGGCCAGGACAAAGCGAGAAGGCCCAGGGGCTGGTTCTCTCTTCGTTTCGGTGGATTTTCCCCGATTTCCGTGGTTCACACCCAGACAGGACAGTGCGGGTGGATGGACGGAGCGAGAGGCGCAGGGCAGAGGAAAGGCGGTTATACTGGACGGACAGACGGACAGGTAACTGTTTGACTCTGCCACTGTGGGAAGCTCGGCCACCTCGTGTCTGGAAAGGCGCTTCCATGTGGAAAAGCGCTGCCAGAACTGCAGGGTCTCTTGTTCTGCCGCCAACAACCTCCCCTTGTGCAGTAAACGGGTTTTGCAGTGCTGTTGGCTGTCTTTGTGCCGCTTTCTGTCCGGCTTTCTGTCCAAGGAGGTGGCTTTACGCAGGTGCTCAACGGCTTCCACCCTGGTGCGTGGCCACCGCGCCGCATTTCATTTCCTTCGGAAACCCAGTGGCAGACTGGATCATCACAAAGTGTTGTATAAACACGCATAAAAGATTTGTTCTAAGCGCAGAAGCAAATAAAAGACTTGATGAGATAGCCTGGGAGCCCAGGGGCACGGTGAGGGGAATCGGAGGGAGATCGCACAAGGGCTATTTGTGACTCGTAGGTAAAATATTTTCCCGTCTGATCAGGGCCGCTGCGGCTCCCCCTTGGCCCAGGGCTTGGGTGGCCCGGCCGGTACCAACCTGCGTCCCTCCCGCCGCCTCAGCAGCTCCCGAAGAGCCTCTCGTGGCCTCCCCTTTGCACGTGCTCTGCGGCAGGAGCGGGACCGTCTGCAGCAGCCCCTGGGCAGAGGGAGGGGACGTCGTCCCCGAGGGGCGCAGCCAGGCTGGAGGGGGCTTTTGCCAGATACAAACAACTCGAACTTGATAGAGCGTAGGGAAAAACGTTGGCTTCTTGCTGGAAGGGGAAGAACAAAATTTTCCCCAACACAGCGGGTTATTTACCCGTAACCCTCTGCTGGGAATCGCGCAGCCTGAGACGCTGCCTGCACCCTGCCTGCTGTGGGAAGGGCCCTGGGGTCCCTCCGCTGCTCGTTTTGGGGGCATTGGGGTTATTTTCTTTGTTTTAACTACTGGATAAAGCTGCTGCCACACCCTTGGGTGGTGCCGGGGGTGGGCGTTCCCCACCGGAGCAATTGCACATTCAGGGCAAGAACGGCTTCGAGACCTGGGTGGAATAAGTGATGCCGGTTTTTAACTTGCTTTAGAATTGTATCAGTAATCCGTGGTTACATTATTAATGTAGTATTAAAAGGACTTGGGGCCTCTCAGCAAATTCCTATTTCAAATAAATAATTACTGGAGCCAAGATAATTTATTAAATTAAATTGAAAAACCCAGGCACACTGTATTTGCCTGCGAGTAATTTTTTCTCAAGCACCACATCCCAAACCGGGCTGTTGTTCCCGTTGCCGTGCCCCCCGGCTGCGGGGGCGCCGGAACACCGATGCGGCGGCCGGCGGGTTCGCAGGACCCGGAGGCCGCAGCCTGGAGGCCCCAGTTCTGCGTTCCACGACTCCAGGGGAGGGCACGGACGGACTTTTCTGAGTCCAGTGGAAGGGGAAGAGACAGAAGCCCGGCCCCCTTTTTACACCCAAAGCGCCTTGGCAGGCAGCGGGGGGATGCGCCGCCCTCCGCGTCCCCTTTGCCTGTCAAAGAAAGGCGGGAGGGAGACGGGAAGGACAAGGTTTGTCTGGTGCCACCGCAGCGCCCGCAGGTGGCACAGAGGAGCAGGAGAAGGGCGTAGGCGGCGCGTGGTCACGCCTGAACCTCCCACCGCGCTTACGCCGGAATCATTTAACACGAACAAGGCGCCGGATGGACGCGGGGGAGCCGAGAGCCTTCCCCTGGCAGAGGGGTTTTACCAGCAGCGCGCACGAGGTCTTGTTGTATCTCGTTTGTTGGTCATTTGTGAGCGAGGCTGTTTCAATCAGTCGGTAATTTTTCATAAAGCACTTTGATTAAATAAATAATGAGACTGCAAGTGCAAAGTGTCATTTTGCTGTTCGAAACCTCCGCGATCGTACGCGTAGTGTTGATGGAGCTTCCAGAGCGTCACGCGTAGAAGCAACGACTCGTGTAACTACGTCTGGACAAGGGAACGGCGTGAAGCTGGGGCGGGGGTTGGCGCTTGCGGGGAGAGGGGTGTCCTCACACTTTCCTCCACCCCAGCCTCTGCACGACTCGTGCCAGAGCGAGAGCTTCGTTTCCAGCACGAAAATAACGCCTGCTTTGGTGGGTTCTAGCTGCGCTTTGCCAAGACGCGTGACAAATTTGTACTAAATCGGAACCTTGGAAGATGCCAACGCATAAAAACAGGAAAGCTATTGCATAATACAGGAAAAGGAGATAAAAATCCTTCATACGGCACGGTTACTTCAGAAGCAAGAATAAACAATATTTTAAAATGTATAAACACAGATGGCATATTTTCCTTAAAAAAAATGTTTTGAGAAAAATAAAAGTCTCTTAAAAAGGAATAAAATATGAAAAGGAGGAGAAGTAGGTCAGAAAGAAGTCAAAGGGAGGGGGGAAGCCCAACAAAACGGCAGTTGACGATCAAGCAGGTTCTGGTGGCCGTGGTGCGGGGCCTGGCAGCTATCGGTGACCCGCGTGGCTCCGAGCTGGATCCAGCACCGGCCCCGGGTGCCGGCGGGCAGGGAACCGGCAGCACCGTGGGCCGGGCACCTCTCCTGGTGCCGGCTGCAGCCCATCGGCCCGCGCAGCCTTTCGGGGCGAGGAGGGCCCGAGGCAGACTGGCCACAAGGCAGAGTGGGGCTGGAGATCCCCTGGGAGCCGCCCGGCCGAGCGGGGTCCGAGCCCACCGGCAGCTACCGGCGCATGGTAAATAAAGCAAGTCCCTCTGAATCGCCTTTGCACCCGGGAGTCAGTGACCAAGGAGAGGGGCCTCTGGGAGACTCATTTATTTGCACCATTAACCATTTTAACAGCTTCTCTCCAATAACAATCATTCCCACGGTGCGAAGAGCAGGTGTTCCAATAACAAGAGTGATGGAGAAGCGCGGCACGGTCATTATTATTATTAATACCCATCATAAAAATGAACCAGGGAGGGGTGCACCCCATGTGCTCTGTGACACCCTCTGGTGTCCGGACCGGCAGCTCTGTTCTCTGGGCCAGCTCGCCGGAGGTTGGCCAGTACCCGTGGCCAAGAGGCAAGACGCCGGCTGCGAAGGGGCGGCATGAAAAGCACCGCAGGGACTCGACTGCACCCGCACGTGCTGCACGGCAGGAGATCTGCGCTCCAGAAAAACACTTTTAGGACTTCAAAATACGAAAAATGGCTTAAACGTTCGAAAGATGTGCTCAGGTGACAGCTGCCCCCGTGCGAGCGGAGCCTCCGTGTGAAAAGCCAGCTGAAGGCGCTCGTGCCTTCGCTTTCTGTGTGGAGTAAATGCTGGCGTAGGGGTGAATTATCTCACAGCAAAGCCTCTGCAGTCAGAGATTCATCGATTCCAGCCATAAAAATAAAAGTGCGTTTTGCTGGTGTTAATCTAAACCTATGGCTACATCCTTGGGAGGAACAAACAGGTCCGTGCTTGGAGAAAGCGGCGCTGAGGCTCGAGCACCCTCGCTCCTGGGCCAGGCGAGGCCGCAGGGGGACCTGGGGAGCTCCAGCAGGGACGGGGATGCGACGCCGGGAGAGTCAGAAACTGAGCGGAGAAACGGGGATTTGAAACAACACACACCTGCGTCATGGTGGGGGTGGTTACGCACTGGAACACTTCAGCTAAGGAAGCGATGAGTTCACCAGTGTCTGCTGTCCTCACGCGGGGGCTCGGCGGGTTCCCAGATGAGCTGTCACTCAGGGATGTTATTGGACTCCAGTGCTCAAGGAAGCTGTAGGATGAGTAAGTCCCACTGCCAGCAGCTCGAGAGGGTGAAATTCCCAGAATCACCTCAGCTGGAAAAGCCCTCGCAGCTCCTCCAGCCCAACCATGACCCTCACCCGGACCCTTCCCAGCTCCCCCAGATCCCTCAGCGCTGGCTCAGCCCGACTCTTCAACCCCCCCAGGGATCCCGGGGACTCCCCCCTGCCCTGGGCAGCCCAACAGCCCCTTCTGCACAGATATCCTTCCTGATATCCCGCCTATCCTGACCCGTGTTCAGTGGATCAGAGGGGACAATCACAGCAGCTCCTCGGCCTCAAAGCCTGGAAATATTCACCCTCCTGGTATTTGTGTCCCTGCTGGCGCTCAGGTGAGAAGGTTGTAGTGTTGGGAAGCAAACTGTGCCGCCGCAGGGACCCATTCAGGTTTTGGCTGTGGGTGGGGTGGGGCCGGGTGGTGCAGCTGAGCCTTCCTCGGGAACCTGCCCCACGGCGGGGCCACGCTGCTCCCCGCTTGGGCTGCGGGCTTAAGGTCTGACGTCTGTTGCCTCCGGAAGAAGAGGGAGGCAGCGGCCACACTCGCAGCGGCACGGGGGCCGCGCTGCCCAACTGCAGCCCGTTTCCAAACGGGGCGCTGGCACGCGGCGCTCCGGCCGTTCCTGGGTACCAGAAAGGGTTTCCCCGAGCATTTTCTCATGCCAAGCCACAAGGGGCTGGTTCAGGCTGCAGCGTGCGCGAGCAGGAAAGAAAAGCCGTGAGGAAAGAGCAGCTTTCAACAGAACTGTTTTTATTGTGCAGTGAAAGACTGCGCCTAGGGCCGGAGCAGGAGGAGTACGGAACAGCCGGTTTTACCTAGCACGAGACGCTGCCGAGGCTCGAGTGTCGATCCCTTGCTGAGGCAGAGCAGCAGCAGGAACTCGGGCTCCCGTCTGCGTTTAACAGCTGTTAAGGAACACGGTAACGGAGGGGGGCGGCTTCTCGAGAGACCGGCCAACGGAAAAGAACCAGGAGACACATCTAGGAGGTGCTGCGGGACGGCGAGGTCAGACAAGGAATCAGCTGGCAGCTTTATCGCTTTCCCCGTTCTCTATTAGTTTCCTTTTCTTTTCATCCGTTTTCCTCTTGAAGATGCTGTCTCTGTAGAACTGAAGCTCTTTGATGCTTTCCCTGATGTCATCAAGCGCTCTGAAAGAGAATTAAGGAGGGTTTCAAGAGGCCTGTGCACCTCTTCAGCTCCTCCAGCGCTTCCGAGAGACTCCAGCCTGTGCGAACCAAACCCGGACCCGCACGGGCCAGGCAGCTGCCAGAAATAAAACAGCCCTCGCTATCCTTGGCTACAGGGGAAGCAGTAAAAGACCACCAGCACCAACACGCTGGGGAGAAACGCACAGCTCGTGAGTTTGTGTCACCATGGGCCACGGAAGCTCCTGGAAGGCAACAGGTTTGACACCTTCAGCTGTTAAAGGCAGTTCAGGGCGAGAGGGGCTGTGTCAGTGCTGCCAGACAGGCCCCCGGGCTTGAACGGCAGAGAATCCCCACAGAAGCAGGAACTGGTGACTCTCTGGTTTTAATAACCGCTCTCCCTCCACTACCTGGGTTCACAGGGGGCAACACGCCCGTACAAAGGCAGCGGAAACGCCGTGTCCTGCTCCTGGGAGCGCGGCTCCTGCGGGACAAGCCCTGCTCGGTGACAGACCCAAGCAGCCGCCTCACCTGTGAGAAGCCGCCTTCTTTGGTGCAAACTCGTATTCTTCCGGGTACCAGCGTCTGTAAGCGGAAGAAAGAGCTACTTGTAAAAGGGAACTGGGGTTCCGTGACACTCTGGCGGCTGCGGCGCGTCTGTTACAACCGCTGAGAGGATTCCAGCTTCGCTGGTGTCCAGAGAAGCCCCAAGCCCTGAGCCAGCGAGCTGCAGGCTCTGGAGCACAACGCGGCTCGTTCTATGCATCCCCCGAGCAGGGGAGAGGAAAGGAGGGGGCTGGGGGCAGTTTGAGGAGCGCGAGCCTCAGCGCGGCAGCCCCGGCTGCCCGAGATGATCCTTCCCGGGAGCGTCGCGGGGGGAACACTCACCGGCAAAGCTCTTTGACAGTGCTCACATCGATGATCCGGTAATGAAGATGCCTCATGAACTGAGGCATGTATTTGTCAAGGAATTTCTTATCTGCATGAACAGAGTTACCTACAAAGACACAAAACAAGATGTTTCTTCAAAGACATGACGAAGCTGCTACGAACGACACGGGCCCGCGAAGCAGCTGAGCGAGTGGGGGAAAGATCACAGGGCACAGAAAGCTGTTCAGAAGCGGCTCCTTTATCCCGTTTTCTAGTAAATATGATTGCGAAGGCTTGTCAGATTGTCACTGCGGGATCACACGACGCTTAAATACGTAATCCCGTGTTAATACGCGGGGATCTCAGCTGCCAGCGGCCAGGCCGCCCGCCCCGGGTGTGAACACAACAAAGAGCCGAGGATCCCCGGCACAAGATCTGCCCGTGGGAACCCGCAGAAGGGTGACACCGCCACCAGACCTCTCCGGACCCAAGAGGCTCTGCCCCGCCTGCTCAACCGCAGACGACCGAGGCGTCCCCGCGCCAGCTGCACAGGGCGAGACTCATCGGAGAGAGGGAACGTGTGTTACCTGCGAGAGGACAGAGACCCGGGGGGGTCTGCTGCCGTACGAAGGACAGGAACTCGTACTCCGCTTGCTGCAAGGAGATTTTACTCTCCTTCACAGCCTTTGTAAGGCCAGACTGCAAGAGAAGAGCCACCCGTCAGGAACCAGAAACACGCTGCCACGAAAGGTGCCTGCTAAACGCTGAGCAGCACAAGGTCAACCCTTGGGTACTGTCTGCTCCCCGGCGTGCCCCGCAGCGCTGCCCGAGCTCCGTGTGCCAACGTTCTGGGCCCCTTCTCGCCCCGGACGCCTCCAGCACCCAGCCGGACCGACGGTGGGGAAGTGAAAGCCCCCCTTGGGCAAAGGCGAGCGCAGCCCCGGCCCCCCCAGCGCTGACCTGCCGGTGCCTCTGGGCCGGGTTTTCTCTCTCCCCACCACTGCCCTTCAGGGGTTCCTCCCAATTCCCGAGACCTCCTTAAGTCACCCATACGCATGTGACCCGGGTTCCTCCATTTATTTTAAAGAGAGGCAGTTGCCTCCCCAGCACAGAGCAGTGGGTATAAACAAACAGAAACCATCAGGATCCTGCCTCAAGGGTTTATCAAGATTCCTCAAATCAGAAAAAGTTCCTTCCTCCTTTTTTTTTTTTTTAACAGTTAAATGTCAAATCTGCTCCAAGTGTTCTCAGTGATTTATTTCCATCTGGCTAACGCTATATATTTCCATGACTGTGTCGCAAAAATCTACTTGACAGATCCAAGTGGTGGTTAAAAAATTCATTATGTAGCTGCATTTTCATCTATATTCTAATTGCTTCTCTTTTCTTAGTCAATTAAAAATAAGTAGCTCCTCAGGAGCAGCGATAACGTATGCTACCATCTTCAATTCACTCGTGAACCGAAGCAGAGTTGGAGTCCTCAGCTGGAGAAGGGGAAAAGCACCCATCACAGTAAATTAATATTAATTTTCCAAACTCTTGCTAATCCTTCCCGGGGAGAGTAAGATGCCAAAGGGGGGAGGAGGGAAGGGGTTATGGGTGTCTGAAAACTTCAGCCCTTAATTGAAAACTAACTCGAATTTCAATTCATAATCAGGGACTGGAAAAATCCATTCGCTTTTTTGCTACTGGCAAGGAGGAAGCTTTCTTCAGTGCCTGAAAGAACTTAAAATAATCTCTTGCTGCAAAAGTTAAGCTTTCAGCAAAAAAATACACAAGGCTTACAGCACCGAGGGGACAGACAAAAATAACAATCCGATGTTTACACTAAACCGGTCTGTTTCATTCTCCAAATATCTGAATTTGGAGTGATAAATTTGCATTTTGTCAGCTCTGGACTATTCTACATTGATCTTGCACCTGCTCTTACGGGGACTTTAAGTCACGTCTTTCCCTTCTCCAGTGGAATTATTCTTTGAATTTTCTTAGGCAACGCGGGCCAGGCTTCGCCAGAGGAGCCGGGAGCAGAGCCCGTGCAGCCCGGCCCAGAGCCAGGGCTCCCGCAGAGCCAGGCCGCGGCCGACACCTCGCCCAGCCAGACCCAGCTCCTTCGCCTGATGCCCAGAGACACGGTGCTGAGCCTCTGAACTGGCGGCACGGACCGGCCCTTCCCAGGCCCGTCGCCCTGAGTCTCATCCTGCCAGCAGCTCTCCCGTGAGCTCCGTCCGCGAGCGGTTGGCCTGGGCAGATGCTTCTGGCTCCCACGTCAGAAAGCAGCTTCCAGCACTGTTCAAACTTATTAAAAACTGGGCTACAAAGCAAAGGCGGCTTTGGGGCAGTCTTGCTGCCGAGATATGGGATGAAGGCTAAACATACGCGCACACTCCCTGCAGCTGCACCACAGCTGACCCGTGAGACCTCAGGCAAAACCTCACGCATCAGCTCCTCGGTACAAAATAAGGGTGATACTTCCTGTCTCCCACTCTTTATCTCCTGTTTGATTGCAAACTGCTCGGCAGGGGAGTTGTCCCTTTTCAGGTAACTGTACTGCAACTACTAATTCTGAATTATACGTCACTCTCATCACTGTAAAGAGAAACTGCAGCCCGACTGCTCGAAGAGGGTTACCTTCCCGTGATGCTCCTTGCACCACTCAGACATGCTGTCCAGCAGCTCGTCGGGCTGATTAATAATCAAGTTGGGGCCCTGGCGGGAAGAGAAGACAACGGTAATGAGAAAAAGTTTAGTACGAAGCAGTTTGAGGCCTGAGCCGCCGCGCACAACTGCCCCGCCAGTCAGGGTGGCAGACGCTGCCGTCCGGAGGAGCAACGCGGCGCCTCAGTCCCGCAGAGCAACGGCCCCGGCCCCGCGCCCCCGTGTTGGAGCAGCAGGTGCCAGCGTGGCCGGGGAAGGGGCTACCCCAAAGCCGCCCGGGCCGGGCCCGACGGGTCTTTTTTCCAGCGTCCCCTGGAAGCAGAAAGCGGC